AAAAAAAACAAACTAATGCAAGCTTAATCTGTACAAATAGCAGAATACTGTCCAGATCAAGGAAGATAACAATCCCACTGTACTCTGAGCTGGTCAGACAACATCTGGAGTACTGTGTCCAGGGCTGGGCGCCACATTTTCAGAGGGACATTGACAAACGAGTGTGTCCAAAGGAGGGCGACCAGGATGGTGAGGGGTCTGAAAACCACATCATATAAGGAATGTTTGAGGGACTTGGCCACACTTAGCTGAGAGAATTCTTAAAGGGGTCATGGATAACTGATTAGATACTGATTAGAGGGCTCTCATGAGACTAGGAGGGAGGGCCTTCACGGGGGGGCGGTGGGCAGGGAAGCCGGTTATACCTCACACGAGGACGGACTTCCACATGGTGCTATTGGGGACACAGCAAGGAGCTTGCCCGGGACTGACAGTGTGTGAGTGAGAGCTGGGTGACGCCCTGTCAGGGATGTAGAGAAAGGGAGCCCCTTTGGGGTGGGATGCTAGGCCAAATGACCTCTGAGAGCCCTTCCAAAGCCAAAATTCTATAGCTCCATGAACCCAAAAGCAGGAAGGCAGAAATGATCTTGGCGGAGAAGGGTCAAATCAAGGTGCAAGCAGAGAGGGAGCTGGCAAGAGGTGTATGTCGGGGGCAGCTGCTGCAGGAGCTTGGGAATCGAGCTGAGAACGATGGGTTTGAAGTGGTTGGTGATGCACAGCTCCTGAATTTCCCCAGGAGGGTAAAGACCTTACACAAGAGGATTAAGGTGGTTCTAGGATGGAAGGTGGCCGCAAGACTAAAGCCCAAGGCAGAGTAACCGAATGTGGAGGTGATAGTGCTTAGCCTCAGACGGGGTGATGGGAATAGAGGGGCCGCGGGGAGACCTGAGGACCCAGGAGAAGTTTCGCCAGCCCTGGTGACGGATGGAAAGGGGAGTAGGAGGCAGGGGGGCGAGTCAAGTGTGTGGGCCTCGGGGGACTTGGTGGTATCACCAACGAGTTAGGGTGACTGGAAAAGGATGTAGCTCCTTTTAAGGGATGGAGAAAGATCCACATCAGAGTCTTACCTTAGAATTCCCTCTACACTGGCAGTTCCACCTGTCTGTCCTCATCCTGGGTCAGGGGGCTGCGGGTAGAGCGCAAGGCTGGTATGAGACGTCGGCAGCGGCTGAGTAGTGAGGGATACCCCTAAGGTTGTCCCCCACCTCCCTGCACATGTGCTTCAGCCCCCTCAGCTTTAGAAGACCCAAAACTGCTTAAGAAATAAGGAACTGAGAAGAAATAAGGAAAAATCCCAGCTAGCAAGGAAAGACTAGACATCCTTCCCGCTCTCCACCCCGCCTCCTGTTCCAAGTTGCATTTCCTCAGAGCGAGTGAGAGAAAGTCTCCCCCAAATCTACAGGGGAAATAGATGCCGAGACAGGCCCCCGGTACCTGCAGAACCCCCCGCCCCAAACTCTCACCTGCCCTCTGGTTGCTCCATGGGAGAATCCACTGTCTGAATCTCTTGACGGCTCTGGGGACAGAAAAGAGCAGACTCACTGAGCCGCTGGGGACACTGTGGCCCACGCCCAGGCCAGGGTGTTGGAGGAGCTGATGAATTCCAGAAGTTTCTCCCAGCTCCCCGGAAGTGGGATCAGCCAGAGGGCCAGGGGAGCTTCCTAAAGCCTCTCTATTGGCGATGCCCATTTCTGGCAGCCGTGCAGGCTACCTGCTATCCTGTGGCCCTCGGGCCGGGCTCTGCGGAGCCCCAGGGAACGCCCTGTCCTGGCCGTCACACAGCATTACTTTCCCCTCATCCGGGTTCTCATCCTGCTATTGACCCACGGATATTCTCTCCCACTCCCTGCTGCTCCACCCCTTCCCGTTGACTTTCTAGCCTGAGCCCTCCCCATTCTTGAAGAAACCTCCATTTCAACCTCCCCTCCTCTGTGCTCAGTCAGCCACCTGTCTCGGTGTCTGAAGAGCCCAGGCTGAACCCAAGCAGGCATCCCACCCGCTGGGCCTGCTCCTCTACCCGCCTGGGCCGCTGCCTCGGGAGATGCGCTCCTCTCCCTCACCGAGCTCTTACCCGCCGCCTACACCTGTAGAACAGGAGGCCGCCCATGGCCAGCAGGACCAGGATGACGCCGCTGGGTATCAGCAAGCGAAAGGCAAACCCGTGGCGCTGGGGTTCGGGGGGCGGCTGCTCATGGCCTGCATCAGTCAAAGGAACGGAGTTAAAATCAGCAGGGGGCTTGGCCGCCCCCTCGCTTGCTGGACCTCCTTCCAGCTCTGCGGGGCTCCTCCGGTCCCTGGTGCTCCTCTTGCCCTCTGGCTCTCCGAGGGGCAGCACGTTGCCCCAGGAGTGGCTGCTGGGAAGGCTTGGTCCAGCAGAGAGGGTGGAGGGGCCGCCGAGACTTTGCGGGCGCAGTGATGGGGTCTTGGCAGAGCCTGGCTCCTGGTGGTCTCTAGGCAGAGCAGATAGACGGCCTGTCTTCTCAAATGCGTGTCTCTGAGCCTGGCCAGTGGGTCTCCCAGGGCCCACCTTGGGCAGGGGGCTGCCAGTCACATCCACTGACTGGGGCTCCTCTGCCGATGTGGAGAGCAGAGACGTTGCTGAGAACGGGTCGCGGGGTCTGGTGGCCTCCGCCTGGACACTGCCTCCTCCCAGCCTGGAGGAGGAAAGCTCTGCCCCTCGAGGTACAGAACCCTCACTGGCCTCTCCGGAGGCCTCTTCTAGGCCCCAGTTAGTGCCCAACACAGAATCAAGCAGGTCTTCCATCCCAGAGACGGGAGCCTCGACAGAGGAGAGGGGCTCCGGTGAGCTTCCAGTGGGGCTGCCCTCGACGCCTGGGGTCTCTGGTGTCTCAAAGCTCTGGCAGGTGCTCCTGGGTGGTCGCTGCTTGGCACTGCTCAGGTCCACTGCACGAAGGGGCTGCTCACTGGGCAAGAGGGAGCTGTCCTCTGTCCCCTTAGAGTCGGCCCAGGTCAAGCCAGCCATAGGGGCCATGGAGGGGGCAAGGGGCTGCTGAGGGGAGACAGAGGCCAGGTCACTGCTAGGGGTGGCTTTGGGGTACAGGCAGTTGCAATCAGGCTTGGTCACCACATCTGAAAGAACCACAGAGAGAGAGAGAAAGAAAGACGGGGAGGATATAGAGTCACCAGCCTTCAGCACAGCTTTCTCAGAGGGGATCGAGAGGGGGACATCGGTCTGGAGATCTCCACATCCCCTGACTCCGCCCTTGGGATGAGGAGAGGGCAGGGCTGAAGCCGATGCTCATGACACTGGCTATAAGCAGGAAAGGTGCGAACTGTAGAGTCTTATGGGCAGAAAGCAAAGAGGGGTTTCGAGGCACAGACCGGGGTTCAGGGTCAATAAGGACCAGAGAACAGCCCTTCCCGAAGTTCCAGCTGGCCAGACGCCAAGCTAGGGGTGATCAGTGGCCAGCCAGCAGGTTGAGCAGTAGTCTCCAAGACTAACACAAGACACCCTCAAGCCCCAAAGACAATGCATTGGCTGGAAGCAGCAAGGTGGTTTCATGCACAGTGAGGGGCCATACAGTCACAGCCACAGGCGGGAACGGGCTGAGGCTAGAATGTGACCAAGGCTTGAGGCCTTGAGATTGAAGCAAAGAAACTGGTGTTGGCCATCGGCAGGTGGTAGGGCCTCAGCCTCTGCCTCAGGGAGCAAGGTTGCATGTAGGAGGGCACACGTGGCACAGGACGCAGAGACGAAGACACGCAGGGTACACATTGTGTGCAGCTGGGCCAGCACTGGGAGAGTTTGAATGATGCTCAGACTTCACATCCGGCCTGTCCCTTGAGGGGACACTCAAGGCATCCTGAGGATTTCTGCAGCCAGGATATCCTGGTGATTCGCCGCAGGACTCCTGGAGCAAGGGCCCTCTGCTCTCTCCACGAAACCCCCCATCCGTTCAGCCAGCCTGCAGAGCTGGTGGGGAAGCTTCCATGCCTACGGGGCTCTCCGAGAGGGGCCCCTTCTCCACTCCCTAATATCACAGCCACCGACACGATGCTTCTTGATGCCTCAACATGCAGACATATGTAGGTGTGCATGCACACACATGTCAGAGCAGACATGCGCCCAGGACCACTCAGAGGTACACGAAGCCACATATGTACATGAAACAAGCACATCTGCACACACAGGAGCATGAGTAGCAGCCAGGCTGCCTCCTGGGGGGTCCCTCCAGCCCCCTTCTCACCTCCCAATCCCTGCTCTTTTCTATACCCCCTCCCCCGCCGCACACTTTCTGGCCCCCTCAGTGCTTACCTTGGCTGGAGCATTTAGCAAAGCTGTTGCTGCAGTTCTTGCTGAAAATGTTCTGGTCCTTTTTAAGGAGATTCTTTGTTTCATTAAAGACATTCTTGATCTTCTCCAGCAACTGGAGGGGCGTCTCACTGAAAGGTCGGACACAGGCCTGGAAGGACAGCGGGGCCCCCCTCGGTGAGGAGGAGCACTGGCCTCTGTTTCCAGATTGCTTGTCAAACGTCCTTGGCCTTGCTCACATCTGTCTTATTTTTCTCTTTCGCTTTCTCCCTCCCCTCGCCCCTAGCTTGTGGCACAGTGCATCCTGAGGCTGTGAGAGACGTCGTTTATTCACGGATCCATGTAGCACGCATACATGTGCCAGGCATATGGTAATGACCTGGGAATCATGCAATGGACAAGAGAGGTGATCCCTGGCTGGATTGGACATTGAGTCCAGCAGGGCACGGGCACTAAACCCATGGCTGCAGGTGCAGTGAGCCCTATGAAGAAGTACTGGATGATCTGAGAGTGTAAAACAAAGAGAACTAAAGTAGAGCTCAGGGAAAGGCCCCCAAAGAACCAACTAAAAGATGAGGAAGACTAAACCAGCAAGGGATGCAGGGTTGGAGAGAGCTCTCCAGGTGGCGGGGACAGGCTGTGCAAAGGTCCTGAGGTGGGAAAGCCTGAACCGTTGAAAGGCTAAAAGGAGGCTAGAGTGGCTCCAGTACTGCCCTCTAGGAGGAGAGTGGAGAGATGCAACTGAGAGAGGTCATAAGGGCGAGGTCCTGCGGGGCCTCTCTGGCCGTGTCAAGAACTGTTAACCTTATCCACAGAGCACAGAGAAGACATTTGAGGGATTGTCGAGGAGGTGGGTGGGTGGCCTGTGGTGCGGAGAGTGGCCTGGGGTGGGCCATGGGGCTGCGGGCCCTCTCCAGCATCGGCGTGTCTTAGAAGGAGGGCCAAGGCTGCCTCAGCTCCGTCTGCTGAGCTATTCTTTCCTCTTCTGCTTGTGGGACTCGGGTTCCCCACACCCACAGGAGCACTGAGGAACTTTGCACACCGCTGGTCGTCCTCCCAACTCCTGAACGGCTCCTTCTCAGGCTCCTTACCAGGCTCTCCTCCTCCACCTGACCTCTAAATGCTGGCATTCCTCAGGGCCGTCTTGCCTCTACTTCCTCTCTTCTATTCACCCTGATCTGGCACCTGCCTCCAACAGCGACCACCAAGTTGTCACGTCCTGTCTCTGGCTGGGACTTGCGCTTCCTGCCGGCCTCCCAGCCTCCACACCAGCTCCCTACCCTCCATTCTCCACACAGCGACCAGAACGGTCTCACAACGCAGATGAGGTTAGGACACGGGCCCGTTCACCGTGGCTGCCTTCGCGCGCTCTTTAGGACCTCAGGTGCTCTGGCTCCCACCTCCTGTCCTCTCTCCCCTCCACTTCCAAGCCTTGGCCACGCTGCCCACACTTTGGGTTCCTGAATATGCAAGTTTCTGCTCACCACTTTGTGCATTGCGTTCTCTGTTCTGGAATGCTCTGACCAGCCTTCTTGCTTCCTGACTTACTCACCCTTGGACCTCAAATGATTATTTTCTTACTCAGAAGCCGTCCCTGGCTCTTCCTCCCCACCCCCTTATAAATTAGTCCTGTTTCTCCCTCTCAGGGCCTAATGGGGTTCTCCTTTATGGCTCACGTCCTCACCGCCTTCAGGTTTTTCCTTCTGCAATGCAGCTACTTCCATCCGACGTACCACGCATTTGACTTACGTATTTTGTTAACTGTCTCTCCACCCCCAAATGTAGGCTCCATGAATGTGGGGATTTTTGTCTGTTTATTTTGTTCCCCAGTGTCTAGAACAGCGCCTGGCACATAGCACGCACTCGTTAACTATTTGTTGAATGAATGACTAGTCCTCATGGTTTGCAACTCTGTTTGCTTGAGCCTTTGTTTGTTTATAGGCTGCCAACCTCACATCACTATGAGCTCCCCGAGAGTCCAAACCGTGCAGTCCTCATTCATGAAGAAATTGAAGGCCTAGCGCTGTGCCTCCTGCACGGTTAGTCCTTAGTAAAGGACACAAAGTTTCTTCTTTGTGTAAAGAAGAAATGAATGAGAGAGTGAGGGAAGAATGTGAATGCGTCCTGTGCATGTGGGCAGGGAGGGGGCCGCCACAGCCACCGCCTGCCCTTACGCAGTGCTCCCGGCTCCAGGACCCTCCTACCTTGTCCGGCTCCTCATTGTCCTTGGGGAAGCAGACCTTCAAACTCACAGAGAGTTCCTGGAGCTTCAGGATGGCATTGGCATTGGAGGTGTTGTCTTTGAAGCGCATGGTATCCTCCATGATGTCTTGCACCAGGAGAAATGCCTTCTTAAGGTAACAAACGGGGTCTTTCTGAAAAAGGAGAACCTGGAGTTGACGGTCTGGCTGATGCGGCCTGGGAACCCAGGCTCTCTGCCAGATGGCCACCGTCCCAGGCCGACGGAGGGCTGCAGCCGGCCCTCCTGCTACCCGGGGGAGAGGCCACAGGCCACAGCGCTTTGGTACTTAGGAGGATGCTGCCCTCAGCTGGCCTTTCATTCTCTCTCCTTGGGACCTGGCACTGCTGGGGATTGGGGTAGAGGAAGGAAATGTGGATTCTGGTTAGAGAGAGCTTCAGGTTTTTGGACAATGACACTTTAGCCAGAGTGGGGGTACATGAGGAGGGTAGGCACTGGGGAACTTCTCTTTCTTTCTATCTCTCTTTACCATATGGTTCCTTCTAATCCTCTAGGCCGTAGAGGTGCTGGAGATACCTCATGGTCCAAAGAATAACCTCAGTGTTTTGTCTCCCTGAAGAGATGGTGGTCGCCTCAACAGAGGCTCTGCTTTAGCTCTGTATTCCTAGTATCTGGTCCACTAGGTTCCTAGTAAATGCTGGTTAAAGCATTAGTGAGCAAGGGAAATAATGAAATATGGAGGTTATTATCTGGACTGTGAGGCGGCCTCCAGTTCTAATAGAACTACATATGGGTCAGGTAGGAAGAAACTCAGAGATGGGTGCAACTTCTGGGCATCGTGGTGGTTTTGCGTGAAGCACGAAGATGAACAAACAAAATGAGGGCTAGGGTAGGGGCCCTTGGAAAGGCATTACAGGCATCAGGAAGAGCTTGTGCAAAGGCCCGGGGGCAGGAAGGAGCGGATAATGGAGGTAGTGGGTGGGGCCGTGTGGTGGAGGCTGCAGCTTGTGAACCCCAGGCTAAACAGCCTGGGCTTCTCCTGGAGTGAGGGAGGCCCCTGACAGGTTTGGGGAAGGGAAGGGAAGGTAGCAGGTTAGGGTTCCAAGAGCTCCCTTAATTGGAGAGATGAGGGGTACATCGGTGGCAGCAGAGAGCACATTTCAGAGGTTCGCTTCTTTAAATAGTCCAAGCAAATAGTCCAAGGGGTGGGGCTGGGCCAGGCCCCAGAGCTTCTGGGAGGCCGAACCAGCAGAACTTGGACTGGCTGGGGGTAGGATAGGAGGACGAGGGAAAAGGCTGGACTGACTCCCTGCTTGCTGGCCTGCTGGATGGAGGTGACATCCTTAAGCAAAGCATGTGACCCAGAAGTATTGGTTTGCCTTAGACCTTCGAGCCAGGCTGCATGGGTACAAATCAGGCCTCTACCCCATGCTAGCTGTGTTCCCTTAATCTCTCTGGGGTCAATAAACAAGATGAGTGTGCCATAGAGTGGTTCCATCAGGCTTAAATTAGAGAAGTGCCTGGCACATAGTAAGACCTTGACACGTGCCAGGCCAGAAGAAGGGAGCAGCAGGGGAACTGAGCCCCTCGACCTGCCCAACTCTGGCCCTTGGTGCCCCAGACTTAAGCATCCAGGGATCCTCATACCCTCACGCTGCCCAGCTTTAGGATTTCTCCAGCTTTCACGCTCCCACGTATACCTGCCCTGGGAAACACATAAAGCCATAACTCACCAACTGTTCCTGGTCTACAAAATCAAAGCCAATTGGGCACGAGGTCTCCATCTGACTGTCAATCTGTAAGAGAGAGTGAGCCAGTGGTGGCAGGTGGTCTGCAGCTCAGCTGAGCTTGCCTGAGAATGGGGACTAGAGTTTCTGGGCGAATCAGGGTTTAATCCTCATCCACCTACCCCTAACCACACCTAGAAAGACAGAACCAAGGCTAGAGGAAGACCTGTGTCTTTCACATGCCCAGGTGAGGGCAGTAGAAGAATAAGAAGTCTCTTCCTTTTACCTCCCACTCCAAGACATCGGACAGATGCCAGCTTGTTATAGGAAAGAACTATCTAATAGAGGATACAGGACATAATCTCCTGTGGAAGGTAGTAAGCTCCCTGTCATGGGTGGAATTCAAACAGAGGCTAAACAAGTTCTGGGGCTTCAGGATCTGTAGGGCCTGGGGCTAGATGCCCTGAAAGCCCTCACTGGCCCCCAGAGCAGTGGTTCTATGATTCTAAGCCTCAGAGAATGCCGCGGCTCTTTGGTTTGCTTTGGGCTGCTGTGGCAGCTACATGCAGGAGGAAAAGTATAGGGGTAAGAGAGGCAGGAGGTCCAGCCTACAGGCCCTAAGATCAGGGCCCTGAAGCTGGCCTTCACCAGTCATGTCCCGCCCTGCCTGACTGGCCAGAGGGATGGTAAATTCCCTTCTAAGCAGGACAGCAGCCATGACAGCAACCCGATTCTGCTTGGCAGAAACATGTTTGGAATTGTTGACGACTGCTGGCCCAAACAGGATGAAGCACAGGCTCCTTCATGTCCCGGGTGAGCAGGTCATCCCAGCTCCATGGCTCGGGCAAGAGCCAGGGACATGAGGGTAAAGGGCTGGGAGTTAGGCAGGAGCCTCCCCGCCAAATCTGGCTGAGGCCCAGGTACCAGGCTGGCGTCACATTTGGGAGTCCAGGAGCTAGAGGCAACATCTGGACACAGCAGGCAGACTGAGCTGGCTCCTCAGAGGAAGCATCCCACTGAGGGACAGACAGCAGGCCTCACAAGCCTTTTCAGTGTCTATGATTGACATTCCAGGCAATCATTCACCTAGGCAACCAGCTGGAAGCCCACCCTGTCCCCTGCCAGCAGGGAAGTCAGAGATAGCTTCATGGATGGGGTTGGGGTTGGGGTCAGAGGCCCTGACCTTGAGAAGGTCAGTGAGGGGAGTATCAGTGGAGCTAGGTGGGGGCCACAAGCCATGTTCTCCACAGCCCTGTTTCTCTGCCTGCCGCCCCTCGCTTTGACCCTGCTCCTTGGCTCCCACCTCAGTTTCCCCAGTGGGGAGAAGGTAAGGTAGGTGTGTCCACACACTCACCAGCTGCTGCAGGAGCTGCAGGTGCCCATCCCCGATCATGTAGCTACAGTGGTTCGACTCCTCCTCGGTGATGCTCCTGGTCACCAGGAGACAGAGCAGCAGCAGTCGGGGGCCCAGCCATGTCTGTGATAGAGAGGATGTCATTTCTCCCCAGGAACTCCATGCCTTCATACCTATAAGGCTACAGGCTCTGCCCCTCACCCCAGGATGCCGCATTCCCCAAATCCAGCTTTCTCAGGATTGCCTAACAGCCATGGCACAACCTTACTCTCCCTCCAAACAACAAATGTCATCTCCAAGAGGCCCTCCCAGGCCAAGCCTTCCTATACATTGAACTTGTACTAAGGACATGGGAGGTATGCCTACCAGTCTACATTCCATTTACTCAGGAAACTCCTCGAGTGCAAGACTTACATCTAACCATTATTCTATTCCTACAACATCAAACACTGAGCCAGGCATCTTGTGAACTGCCTTCTCCTCTTAAGTTCATGTTCATGTACCAGCTTCCAGACTTCGAGCCAGAGACATTTTCCTTGCGCCCAGCCCTTCCTCCTACCTGATTCCACACAAGTCTGGCTCTGCTACTAGAAAAGCCAGGGACCCAAACGCAGTTTCACTGGGAGCCCATCCTATGCCAGAGACCTTTGGAGCCCTGCGCATGTGTGTCTAAAGGAGCCCAAGCAATTAATCAGAGGCAGGCAGCAGTACCAGCTCTAGGCCATCCGCGGCTGGCACCTGTCTCTCCGAACCCCATCAGACTCTGCCGCCAGTCAGCCTCATTAGGCTCTGCATCCAGCCAGCCAACTCTTAACATGTCAAGGACGTTTCCTGAGATCTCTCTCCGCTCTCAGCACCCACCTGGCCCAGTAGCTGCTTACCCGAGAGATGGGACTGGCTCCTGACATGCCCCTTCCTTCCTCTTTCCTTCCTCCTCTCCCCTTCACCCTCTCCTTGGCACTAAGTCTTCCCTTCTCCAGTCAGAGGTAGAGAAAAACCCTTGGGCTTTCTTTCCCCAGCTGGAAGTCGCCTCTTGGCAGCTGATGTCCCCAGATTGAAGGCAATGCTGTCAGGATGGGGTGAGGGCTGACATCGTCCTGGGCCCTGGGCTCTGCCTCGGTAATCCAGATGGATGAGACAAATACTGCAAATCAATAGCGCGTTGGAAGGATACAGGGAGGATACAGGTATCCTTTTGGAAGGATATAAAACAGCGCACAATGACATCCTGATTTACATGTAACTAAAAGCCCAAATGTTCGCCCGCTTTCAGCCAGGAGGAGAGGCCCTGGCCGAGCTACCGGGGAAGTTGCAGCGAGGAAGGACCTCAGCAAGGCTTCAAAAGGTGGGGAGAAGTTGATGCAGAGAGAGGGAGGGTGAGGCCTGGAGGGAAGAGGTGCAGGATGGCCCAATGCCCTTCAGCACAGGGATGTGGTGAGGGCCCTGGCCTGACAGGAGGAGGGAGAATGTGGAAGAGGGAGGTCAGTCATGGGAAGAGGTAGGACAGTCATGGGGGGAACTTTGGGCTCTGCTGGGCGGTTGAGGAGGTAGCCCTGGGTGGGAATGACTGCCCAGGTCCTCAGGAACTTCTGGTTCAGGACCCACTAGAGGAATCTGGGACATGCAGGAGGTTCGTCTGCTCCAGGCTGGCTGCCACTGAGGCTCTGAGCCCCGGATGTAAGCAGTATGGAGGAAAGGGCCTGTGGGGAAGGGGACGCTCAGGAAGACATCCTTGCCACAGGCACTTCAAGATAGTGATGTTTGAGGGCAGCAAAGAGAGGACAATGCTTACTCTCAAGGGCTGCCCGTCTTTTAGAGCCATTTCAAGCATTAGTGTGGAATGAGTGTAGCCACCAAAGGAGGCCACCCCTGCACCTGGGGCCCCAATTTTGCCTCAGAGACGGATCTCGACAGGCACCCAAGGGTTAACAGTCTCGCTTGCATCTGGCTGGGCTGCTTCTTCTCCCCCCTCCTTTTTTCCTCCCACCCACCAGCCTTGGCCTCTGGGGCAGCCAGGAAGTAATCTCTGTTGCAGGCTCGGAGAGATGCTGGGACATCTCAGCCCAGCTGTCCATCCTCACCTGCCTTCATTCTGTTCCATCTTCCCCATCAGCAAGGTCGCTGGAGAGACCCTGGCATGAGTGGACCCTCCGGCCGCCCTGTCGAAAACCAGCCCACTTTTCTCTTCGCCTTTTCTTTCCTCGCGGTCTCACCTCCAGCTGCTTATCTTTCTCGTGCCACCTATCACTTCGCCCTCCTCGATGTCCCCTCTCAGCCCAGTCTCCTCTTTCTCA